TAAATTTGGGAGAAATAAAATAAGCATGCTCAGGTGAGTATCGCCTTTCTTCCTCTTGGAATTTAGATAGTCAAAGAATAATTACTCATAGATAATTTAGCCTATAAATTGGTAGAATCCTAGCAGCAGGTTATTTATTCAATATACCTTTGTTGTGTGCCTATGATATGCTAGGATATGGTTCTGTGTCTTCTCCTGCTACTCAGAATCACCTCTCCCTTTGGGGAGTTCTGGACCAGCCTCTGGCCAGGCTGATGCATTGTCATTGGTTTCTTAGCTTTTGAATCTGCTCAGAGGCAAAAGGCGGGTGCATTGATGAGCTAAGAATTCTTGTAGAAGAAAGCGGCAAGTACTCATGATCATGAATCATGAGACAAAAACAGGTAATTGTTTCTAAGGCATCTGGCCAATACCCTCGTAACTTAACCATAATCCATCCTAGCAAGTCATTCATGAAGGATTTTTAGTGATTACCCTGCTAATTCCAGACTTTTGGCAAAAGGCCTTAGGAAAGAGGTCACTGCTCCTTCCTTGGAGAGTAACAACTTTTGTGTCTGGGCCCTGCACTTGCTTTTGTCAGTTCTCTGCCACTCAGGTAAAGTGGTGCCCCTTCACCTCTTATTACATCACTCTATTTTGTTTTGATTGTGGTACTTTTCCTCAGTTCTCTGTTTACTTGTCTAGGGTCTGACTCACTCCACTAATCTGTAAGCTCAAGGAGAGCAGGAGCTATTTCTGTATTGTTTATGGCTGTTTCTCAAGTGTCTGGAACCTGGTGAATAAATGAATCAAAACTCTATATTCCAATTGCTGGAATAAGAAAACAGGGATGTGTACTTGCAAGATCTAATTAGCAGTTACTCTGTGGTACCATTGCTTAACCCTGAAGCTGAGATATGCATCAGTTGTTGCTCCTGTGTGTGTCCCTAAATGTTCAACTACATTTTATCTACAGCATTTCTATTCATTGGTTCATGAATGCTCTACCAACAGCTGGAAAGTGTCTATAGTGGCTTATAAAGGTAACAGTCAACAGGTAAAAGATAAGAGCTGATAAGTAGCTGTGTAGGACTCAAGGGAAACCTTATCAAGAAACCATTGTTAAGGTGTAACTTTCTATTGTAATCCATGCAAGAACTGTTCCCCAAGCTTTTTTTCCTGCCCTTTGCTGAGTAAAGTTGACTTGGGCATTCAAAACTAATTTGAAAAAATTATTCAGAGTCTCAGAGCAATTTCTGATGGGACTGTCCAAAATTTTCTGAAATTTATACTCATTCATTTATGCACCATTTTCTTGAGGCAAAATTAAATTATTTCATTCTTACTTTTCCATTTCTCATGGTTCCTCATGACAGCACAAAGGTGGGTAGGAGTCAGAGGCAGCATCTGGAAAATTTTTTAAATGATATGTATAGAAGCATGGGCTGGTACTTTCTGGTCTTTTGGTCTCCCTATAAATATAAAGTGATCTATGTTGACACATTCTGAAGACCATTAAAATGAAGTAAACAAGGAAACTGGACTGGCATCTGCTTTAGGGTGAGGAAGCAGATGGCACCTGGTTTGTATGCAATTTTTGCTGGGTGTATTGGCAGTGGACTGGAGACTCACTTCACCATTCAAGGTACTGGTGAGTAACCAGGAATTGTTCTTTGATGCTAAATACTTTTCTTAAAGTCAAACCCATTTTGAATTTGCAACCTAAATCAATTTTACCTAGCAGAGGCAGAAAAGTCTCAACCCTGCTGTCCTAAAATACAGGCACAAACTTATCTCAGATAATTAAATACTCACAGCCACTGTGGTTGTGCCTGGTGCTGTTCTAAAACTGAAAGGCCAGGAAAAATGAGATTTAATCTAGAAATTCATCACAGAAGAGAGTGAAAATACAAAAATACAGCATTCACAACGCTGCCCCCCTTGAATTACAGGCACACACATAGACTTACAGAAATACACCAACATTTTAGTACCTGCCCAATCCACAACAAATCTCATCCCTTCATGTCCAAATGCATCTGGACTAGACTAAATTTAGGGTTGTCTTTAGTCCATAATATTAATTCCTTACTTTTGTTTACTCTTTACCTCTTAATGTATGAGTGTGATTTCTCTTATATTATTTCATTTGAACATTACAACTGTCTCATGGAGAAGGCAGATAGACATTCTATTCCCATTTTAAAGATGAGACTCTGAGAGTTTGAGCGATTTGCTAAAGATTTTAGAATAAGTAACTGGCAGAGCCTGAATAATGACTCCAAATTTCTGATTCTTTAACTCTCCACCTTTCCTGCACTGTTTCATGGCTTCTTGGATCTGATATATCTTGCTCCTGCAAGACTCTCATGAGTTTAAATTATGGAGATGTGCCAAGACTTCAGGCCTGGATGCTGGTCCAAGGCAATAATGAGCTTGAACTAAGTGGTCTTACCAAGGCTGCCCTGCCCTAGCCAATTTGGCTCAGTAGATAGAGCATGGGCCACAGAAGGATCCCAGGTTTGATTTCAGTCATGTACCAAGCGGGAGACAACCAATTGATGTGTGAGATGTTTCTCTCTCTGTATCTCTCGCTCTCCTTTCCACCCGCTCTAAAAATCAAAGGAAAGATATCCTCGGGTGAGGATTAACAACAACAAAAGACTGTCCAGGCACTGATCAGTCATTTTTTCTGGGAAGAACCCAGGGGCTCTGAGCTAGAACCCACAGCCTAACGGTGGATTTGAACTGCTCCATTCTAGGGGCGGCGTATCAGTCAGCCGGTATTCTCCTCGAACACAAGTCCAGTGAATTTGCTTCTGAGGGCAGGGAGTTACATCTCGTTAACTCCCATATATTTTTAAGGGCTTGGACCAAAGATCCAAGAATTCATGCAGGTACTTTCCATACAAATCAGTCTGCCCCATGCATGTTAAATAATTCATTCTCTTCGAGGAGACCAAACATGTCTGGGTTGTTACCATCTAGTCCTCATCTTTTAACGATATAACATAGCTCTGGGATATTCGTCTTAACAGAACCAATGGAAAATAAAAGCCTTGTGTCTTTCCTGTTCCCACTCCAACTGGTTATCTGCCTAACTGACCTCACAGATACCCCCCCTCCAAGTTTACAAAAGATACCTCTGTTCCACAGGCACAAGTCACAACCTTCTTATTTTCTGGTGAGAGAAGAACTCTCATTTATTGAGTCCCCAATATGTATCCAGCATTGCATTGCGTTAGGCAATTCAAGATCATTATCATTTCTAATTCTCATAACAGTCCTGTGAGGAGATCATTTTCCAGATTTTAAAAAAAGAACGGCTAAGGGAAATGAAATAACCCAAGCTCACAAAGACTGGAATTCCTGGTGGGTCTTCACATCTCAAATTCACAGTCCTTCCATTTATAAGATGTTGAGAACCCCAAAAAAAACTTGGCCTAGTGGAGTTTTGAAGGAGGAGGTCTTGATTTTTTCTTTTAGGTGAAGAGAAAAATTCAATCTCTCCCACCCTTTCTTTCCAATAATGCTGAGGGGGGAGGGTAGTGGAAGAAATTTAAGAGCAGCAAGAGCTCAGGTGAGGAGGGGGTACGCTTTCAGAGGGCAGGAAGCAGGTCTGAGTGGCCAGCTTTCCTCAGGGCCAAGTCCAGCAGAGGAGGGGCTGCTGACAGATGCCTTCTCAACACACCAACACTGCAGGCTTGCCTGGTCCTGCTTTCCCAGGGCAGAGAACGGCTCCCATCTCTGGCCCCCTCAGTCTCCGGACAGCCTGAGATACTGAAAGCCATATCGTGGAGGCTCAGTAGGCCAGGGAGGAGTTGAGAATGGCAGATAGCTTGGTGTGTGTGTGTGTGTGTGTGTGTGTGTGTGTGTGTGTGAAAGAGGGGGGGTAGCTTGGGCTCAGTAATGTAGGGGAGGGGTGGCCCGCTCACGTGACTTCAGGAAGGCGGAGACAGGAGAGCTGGAGAGATGACTGGCAGATCCGGGCAGGGGTGGGGGGGCTCTTTGAATAATTGAGGAGCTGTTCAGCAGCAGCGGCTGCCTCCAGCCTTCCTTTGCCACCAGCGCCCCGCATCACAGTGGGAGAGAGAGCCCGGCTGTAAGTGCGGACTGCCAGCAGCCAGTTCATCGCCGCTAACCCTCAGGTGAGTGAAAGTCCCCCTTCGCCGCAGTCTGTGCCCCTGCGCACCCCCTGCATCCCGGCTGGACCTCCGCAGATGGGATGATGTCTCTGGTTGAATGAATCAGGTAGCCCAAGCCACCGGGAGGGAGGAAGCAGGAACATGGCGAGGAGGTTGAGTGCTGCTCCCCCCACCTCCCGCCCAGGAAGGGGTCCCCTGGAAGGAGCAAGGAGCTGGGTCGGGGTCTCTCCCAGACTCTGGCCCGGAATGGGGCCCGGACAGCTTCCAGCGTCTGGGGACGCCGGACTCCGACTCCCGGGAGCTGCCAGGCGGGGCTGGGGCAGATGCAGCCTCACGGCGGCCAGGGAGAGAGGCAGAGGAGGGAGTCACGAGCAGCGTTCGGGCCGCTCGAGGCTCCACAGACGCCGGGCCCCTCTTTTCCTTCCCGTTTTGGCGCACACCCAGCTCCCGCAGCTCGGTTCTCGGGCTCGGAATGAGCCCACGGAAAAAAAGAGACGCTTTTCCGCCGCAGCCCGAGGGGAGGGCGGGACAACATCTGCCCTTTTACCTGCGCGCAAACTCTTCAAAGGGACTCCAGCGGAGCCCGGTGCCCTGACCAGGCCGGTGCGCTCCGGGGACATCTGTCCCCTGGGAGCGGTGACGCGCCGGGCGGCGAGGAGAACGTGATGGGAGAAATGTGGGGCGAGGGGGGGAGAGGGCAGCCCCGGAAAAGGATCCTCACCGCACTTATTACCCCGTCAGAGCCTCCTCTCTTTCCACATCTCAAAGCACATCAGTTTCCTACGAATCCAGGGGGCCAGAGTAGGGCAGTGTGGCCTGGCAGGACGCAGTCCCGAACTCCTCCTCCCCCCTGAACCCTCCCACCCCCACGGGTAGGTATTTTATATTGTGATTGAAGAATAAGATAGAAGTCCCAAAAGACTAGAAGCGAAAGGAAGGTCAAGGAAAAATGGGGGGAGACTGGAACAGCAAGCCTGCTCCTGACACTCCTGACCCCACTACCTGTGCAAAGCTTGGTTCGTGGAGATCTTAAACTGAGAGGTGCAGAGGAACCGGCTCTGGGGAAGGGTCTCTCACCGAACTCTGGAGCCAGTCACCGGCCAGATGGAGAAGAACCACAAAATGATAACCCGCCTCTCCCCCTCCTCCAGTCCCTCCTTTGGCAGGATAGCTCCCGGCAGGAGCCTGGGCCATAGAGCCCACTGCCTGCGTGGGCGCTGTCCGCGGTCCTGAAAGTTCTCCGAGGCGGGGAGCTAACGCCTCCAGAGAAGTGGCGGCTCACCTCTTGCCAGTATTTCCCTCAAACAGAAACTATGTTAGAACCAAATACAAGGGGTCAGGTAAAGGTGCCTTTGCTTCCCTCAGGTAGAGGAGCAAGGAGCGGGTGTTTCTCCAGGGTCCAGCTTAGCTAACTTCCGATGGGTATAAGATATGTGGTGCCTCTTCTCTTTCCTCCACTGCGCAGTGAATCTTTCTGTTGGCGGCGTTGGAGAAGCAGTTAGGAGTGCTATTCTAATAATCATTTCTGTGGCTTTGAGAAACCAGAAAATTGTGAGGTTACCCAAAGGAAGAGGCTGCATTAACGGAGAGACTAGGCTTTGGGCTATGGCTTTTTCTCTGTTCAGTACCCTTCTCTCCCTCAGGGCAGGCTCTTTACACCCTCTAGATAAGATCTCTAAGCATCCCTGCGTGTTTGTTTCTTTGACTAGTGTTTTATATTATGAGTAAGATGGGGAAAGAATTAAGCAAATTTAGAGAGGCAAAATTAAGAGGATATTTACTGAACACGTATTATCTGCTGGGTAATTTATCTCATTTAATCGCCATAAACTGCTAACCATAAATATCTCAGAGATTTAAAACAAAACAAAAACCCTGAAGTTAGGCATATCAAATCCACAGCTTGGATTAAAATTCAGGTCTGCTTAACTCCAAAGTCCAAATTATTTTTCATGCCTTCATTTTGGCATTTGGCTTTGGATAGCTATTATTGGGAAATATAGCAAGAGAATGTCAAAGGAGAAAGGGCTGCTTTCTTTTTCACACACACTATTCTCTTCCAATCTTTTCCTCTTTAATCTGCTCACCCACCCACTGTCACTCACTCCCACCCTTCCAACTGCTTTTGTGCATGCTGCTTGAGATAACACTGTTCACACAACTTGAGCTTCAAGATTGCAAAAAACAAGTCAGAGGACTAACACAGCAGGCTTGCCTGAAAAGCAGCAGAGCTTCAGGGAGTCTGGAGGACTAGAGCCCACTGGGTTTTCATAGTCAGAGTTTTAGGGCAGGAATAATTTTAAGGTCATCCAGCACTGTAATTTTCCAAGAAGGGGTATTTGGGGACCAGAAGATGGCCATTAGTCTAAGTCATGTGAATATAAGGATTGGAACCTAGTTGACTTGATTCCAGGGCCAGCACCCTTTCCACTACTCTCCTTGTGCCTCAAATACTCTTCCACGATGACTTCCTTGATTATCTTTGACAAGAACATCACCATCAATGAACTATATTCAGTAATATACCACAAATTCAAACATCTAAAATACAAGCAGCCCTCTTAGCTACTTTTTCTTCTTATTCTTTCCCCTCTGGTCTCACAATTCCAGCATTGTCTGACCCAATGTACCTGAGACATCTGACCCACTTTCCTTGTAACAGTTCTACCTATGGCAGCATCTGATAAATGGGGATGGCAATCTGGCATTTCTTGCCTTTATGTTGTCTATGTTTCATCTTTTATGATCTATTCCCAATAAAATAACTTTTCCAAAATTAATTACCTAAAGCATCTTCCTATGTTCTCAGAGGGACTTAAAAGATGTCTTTAAAAGATATAGGCAGAAATAAATAATCATTATAAGTGCTAATATCTATCAAATGCTTACTGCATCATAGACATTATGCTAAGTTCTTTCATAAATCATTTATTGAATCTTCACAATTCTGTCAAGTGGATAATTCCATTGGAGGTGATCCTAGAGTTTTAGTCCACTCTCATATACAGCAGAACCTGATGTCCTATTCATTTCTTTTTGCTCCTATTTCAGCCCACAGTAATATCTCACCTTCTTTAATTGAATTTTTGTAGCCCTAGTAATTACATTGGCAAAGAGAAAAATTTTATATTGAATTGGACAGTTCTAGTCTGCTTCAAATATGTAGAGTTTAGAAATTAAAATTCAATTCAAATAACACTATTCTGCTTTTATTCCTTAATAGTTACCACAACATATACCCCCATTTGTTATCTTTTACTTACTAGTAAAGATTCCCATAAGCCTTTTTAATGCACATACCAACATTCTGCTTCAAAACCCATCGAGAATCAATTAAGGCATAACTCATAATTAAATACATAACTTCTATTGTACTAGGTTATTTTGCAAGAATGCTGTTGCTGGGATGCTCTGGGCCCTGTGAACCAGAATCTTAAATTATCCAGAGCTACTCTGTTCCATATGGTAATCACTAGCCACATGTAACTAAGAATTCAGTTCCTTAATCACACTAGCCATAGTTTAAGTGCTCAATAACCATATGTGGCCAATGGTTACTTTATTGGACAGTGCAGATATAGAACATTTCCAGCACTGCAGAAAGTTCTATAGAACAATGTTGCTTTAGAAAGTGCTAAAAACATCCTCACAGCAATTGAGAATTTGGAATTGGGAAACAGACTTGGGACTTTGCTTTGAAACTTCTGCCAAAAAAGGAAAAAAAGACACATGTGCCTAGAACATTCCCAGAAGCCCAAAGATGCTCAAGACAATAAGGCTAGCAAAAAGAGCACATGTCTCATTGAAGGAGCTGGTGACCTCTGGGGTTTGCTTCATAGGGATTTTATTTTTTATTTTTATTTTTAAAAATATATTTTATTGATTTTTTACAGAGAGGAAGGGAGAGGGACAGAGAGTTAGAAACATCGATGAGAGAAAAACATCAATCAGCTGCCTCCTGCATACCCCCTACTGGGGATGAGCCCGCAACCAAGGTACACGCCCTTGACCAGAATCGAACCTGGGACCCTTCAGTCCACAGGCTGACGCTCTATCCACTGAGCCAAACCAGTTAGGGCTATATGGATTTTATTTTACCAACAGAGTAAAATGGTCCATAGATGGGTCTTGTTAGTTTCCTGAATTCCACCTTAGAAATAGCTTGAAAGTTATTATACAGAATGCAAGTTTATATATGTAATCACATATATATGCAACAACATATATATATGTATATGTATGTGTATATGTATATGCATCTTGTCTTAGTAAGTATAGTATGATAAATAGGGAAAGAATACAGGACTTAACGTTAAAAGTATGTGTGCCATTTACTACTTGGTGACATTATAAGATCCTATAGAGCTCAATTTCTTTATTTGTAAAATGTTGATGAGAATTGCTATACCTATCTCAAAGGGCTACAATGAGACTCAAAGCATAGGTATGTAAAAGTACTTTGTAAGGAGCATGTTTGAATCTGTAATGGTTGATAGTTTCATGTAGATGGTATAATAGAGCATATAACTGTAATAAACAAATAGGGTAGTGTTAACTAAATGCATTTGTGAATGTTTAAATTTCTGGTATAAGTGTACTTTGCTTTTGTTGTCATTTTTTTCAGTGAAAAGTGGAATGCCAAAGAAAATACCATTTGCGTTGTTGAGATTTCTGGTTGGTTAGGTTCTATGAATTGAAATATTGTTTATGGTTTAGTTCATTTTCCCCTGAACATTTCCTTTAGGATTAAAAAAAAACAACAAACACTAGGATGTCTCAGTAGGTCTGAAACAGCTTTTTCTTTGTAACTAATAGTTTTAAGTCGATTGTCAATAATTATCCTGTTATAGTAATAGGAGTTTAGAGAAAATATAAAAAGTATTGTGGATATTCCTCAATATGAGTGGGTAAGGGAGATTATTTAAAGAGATATTTTTACTAACTACTAATCGAGATGAGCTTCTACCCATCTCATGAGTATGGCCAAGGGCTCTAGATTCTAT